CAAAATTATTTGAAGGGACAAGCAGAAATATTTTTCTGGTACGATACCAGAGTTTGGTTTAATTAGCACAGTTTTCATTGGAAAATACAATACAAATACATTACTTCATTTCCAAATTTTCTTTCTGTCGTATAAGAATTTTTGTATCTTTAGTAACCTCTTCAAATACATTTACATTGCTATGCTATATGGTACATGTCTGCTTGCAATATCCTCTAAACTTGTCTCTATAATTGTTGATTTGATTCTTCCGTCCCTTTGCCCTAGTAATCAAAGAATCAATGACCTTTTATGACTTTGGCCTATGTCTGTGGTTGGTCTGTTTTTTTTTATTTCTCCCCCTCCCATTCAAGTGTCTGTAATCAAATTCCATTTTATCAATTGACAAATGTTTGCCAGCCCCATATCCCTATAAATTTAGTTCAGCTTATGGGGAAATCGCAGACAGGGGTCAGTTGCGGACACCATGTTTCTTTTCTGAGTTTCTTTAACGAGTGTGTTGTCGCAGTTTCAAGACAGCAGTATGACTAAAGCTGTATGAAGATACAAAAACTCTGCTCCACTCTGGAAGGACAGCAAGCAAACCAACATTTGATATTTAATTTCCTATGAAGTCTGATTCCCACTAATATGCTCCCTCTACTTTTCCTTCTCATATTAGGGTTCTCTGTCCTCAAGACTGTCCTTACTTTGCCCCTCATATCCACCCAACAACTTATACATATCACCCTAACTCCTACTCTCTCCCTTTTACTGTACCCATCCCTCTTGCAAATTCTGAACCCACATGCTGACACAAACACTAGGGCAGTGAAATATCTGCACTCATATACATCCCACGTCCATCTTATTTTCCTCACCCTCCTTCTCCCAGTCTCTGGGGACATTTCCCCCAATCCTGGCCCTCCATTTTCTAACTGCAAACCCCATATCTGGTACCCTTCCTCCTCTGGCAACATCTTCAATCTACTCAGTTTAATTTATATCTCCATGCTTCCAAAAACCAGCCCCCCCCCCCCCCCAATCTCAGGTGCCCTCTGGAATGCCCTCTCTGTCTGTAACAAGCTCACATCTCTGCATGACCTTTTTATCTCCCATTGCTTTAACGTGCTTGCCATACCTGAAACCTGGCTTCAAGATTCTGATTCGGCTTCTCTTGTTGCCCTTTCCCATGGTGGCCACCACTGGACTCACTCACCCAGACCTAGTGGATGGAAAGGAGGTGGAGTTGGATTCCTTTCTATCACCACAGAGCACTTTTCAAGTCCTTCCTACCCTTTTTCCTCTCTATACCTCTCTTCTTTCAAGACACACTGTATTTTATCAGTTTTCTCTAGTTTCTATGAGAATTGCAGTGATTTATCTCCTGGACCAGTATCATACTTTTTTGATGACTTATCTGACTGGCTACCCTACTTTCTCTACTCTGAAATACCCACTATCATTTTTTGATGACTTTAACATTCCTGTTAATGTTAACATTCTGGCTACAGCTGAACTTCTCAACTTAACCTCATCTTTTGACCTAACACAATGGACACACTTCCATTCACTTCAGTGGTAAAACCCTTGACCATGTGTTTACCCATCTCTGCACTCCTGGCAACCTCACCAACACCCCCTCTTTTCCTCTCTCTGGTCATGACCTCATCAGTTTCACAGCATCCTTGTCTCCAACCAACTATCCCTCCAAGCAGATGATTACTAGAAACCTTTGCCACTTTAACCTTTCTCTTCTCTATTCTGCTACTGACCACCTCTATGAAAAAAATCTCCTCCCTTTACTGTCCTAACCTTGTCACCTCTGTCTACAACAATTCACTCTCATCCTCATTGGATGCAATTGCTCTTCTAACTACATGAAGAAGCAAGCCCCAACCGTTACAACCTTGGCAAACTGACAACACCAGAAATCTCAAGAGATGTTGTCGTGCACTTGAATAACTCTGGCATAAAACCAAATCTCTGCAAGACTTCACTCTATATAAATCTGTCTTCCTAAAATACAATTACTGCCTCCATGCTGCCAAGCAAACCTACTTTGCCTCACTTATTAATACCTTGTTATCCAGTCCTTGTCAGCTTTTTGTTACCTTTAACTCTCTGCTTTCTCCCCACCCCCTATACCCACTAACGCACTCCTGCCAAGAGATTGGCAATCACTTCAAAGACAAGATTCATGCAATACGTGAGGATACCTCCACTGTACAGATATCTTCCCCACATAACATACCTTGTCTAACAGCACAGTCAGCACTCTCCTCTTTTGAACTGGATACTACTGAAGAGGTTCCCAAATTTTTCTCAGATGCCCACCTAACCAATTGTCCCCTGGATTCTGTTTCCTCACAACTACTATGCTCACCCTATTCTTCTATCCTATGCTCTCACTCACACCTTCAATTCTCTATCTACTGGCACCTGTCCCCTCACCCCCCCCCCCTCCCCCTCCCCCCCCCCCCCAAAGCATACACAGATCACTCCAATACTTAAAAAGCCCTCATTGGACCTCACCAACATAAACTTAGGACCTATCTCTCTGCTCCCATTCACCTCTACACTTTTAGAACGCTTAGTCTACAACCGTCTTAGCTCCTACCTTCTAGACCAATTACAGTCTGGTATTTGCTCATGGCACCCCACAGAAACTGCCCTACTAAATCTAACGAACAATTTACTAACTGCTAAAACGAATGGTCACTACTCCATGCTCTTACTACTGGACTTCTCCATTGCCTTTGATACTGTTGACCACCCACTTCTTCTCAATAAACTTCACTGCCTTCACTATCCTTGGCCTCCAAGATCTCTTCCTCTAGTAGTGGTCCTCCAAGACTCTGTTCTTGGATCCCTTCTCTTCTCTATCTACACCTTCTCCCTCAGTCACTTGATAACCTCCCGTGGCTTCAAACACCACCTTATGCCGATGACACCCACATCTATCTTTCTACTCCTCACTTCACCCCTTCTGTCTCCTCTCGCATTACTAACCTACTAAGTGACATATTGGCATGGATGTCACTCCACTTCCTCAAAACTCAATCTTTCCAAAACTGAGCTCATACTATTCCCTCCAGCCTGTGCCCCCTCCCTTGACTTCTCCATCAAGATCAATAACACAACCATCAGTTCCTCCCCTCATGCCAGGGTGCTAGGTGTAATCCTAGACTCCCATCTGTCCTTTCAGCCCCAAATCCAATCGCTGTCCAAATCTTGTAGACTTCACCTCCACAATATCTCCAAAATACGCCCGTTCCTAACCTCTGAAACTACTAAGCAACTTATTCGCTCCCTGGTTATCTCTCACCTTGACTATTGCACCTCCCTCCTCATTGGCCTACCTCATCGCAGGCTATCCCCTCTTCAGTCGATCATGAATGCTGCTGCCAGACTCATCCACCTTACTAACCATTCCGTATCTGCCATCACTCTCTGCCAATCCCTCCACTGGCTTCCCATTGCCCAACGTATAAAATTCAAAACATTAACAATAACATATAAAGCCATTTATAACTCTGCCCCAAATTACATCACCAATCTTGTCTCCAAATATCACCCAAACCATACCTATGCTCCTCGCACGACCTCCTGCTCTCTAGCTCCCTTGTCTCCTTCTCCCATGCTCATCACCAGGACTTCACCATAGCTTCCCCCATCCTCTGGAACTCTCTACCCAAATGTATCAGACTATTGCCTACTCTGCTCACTTTAAGGCAATCTCTGAAAACCTATCTCTTCAGGGAAGCCTATCCTGCCTTCAGCTAATGATGGAATCTTCTATTCCTACCAGTCCATCCCCCACAGTTATTAGCCAGGCAGAGGAGTCCTCAAGAAAGCGAGACACCGGTCCAGGAAGCTGATAGATCACTGCAATCCTCAGAGAAATGGGAGAAAACAGCCAAATGCAGTGAGTCTCAAAAGAAGAGGATAGAGATGGAAGGTTAGGGAGGACTTGAAAGGTGCTCAGTGGGGATAGAAGCAAATCAACTCCACCACTGGGCCTGGGTGAGTGGGTCTAGAGAAGGCCTCCGTAGGAAAGTGTGCTGTGGGAGAAGCAGAATCTGCTGCTTGAAGCCAGGTTTTCTGTAATTGCTAGTAGATTAAGGGAGTGGGAGACAAAAAGGTAATGGACAGAGGTGAGCTTTTTACAGACAGAGCATGCATTCCAGAGTGCACATGAGAAAGGGAGGGTGGTTTTTAGGAGCACGGGGATAGAGATTAAATTGAATGGATTGCGGCTATTCCTGGAGGAAGGAGGGTGCCTGGTGTGGGGGTGAGATAGTGGAGGACCAGGGTTCAGGTAGAAATCCCCAAAGGTTAGGAGAAGGAGGGTGAGGGTAAAGTGGGTAGCAAGGATGTATATGAGTGCATATGCCTATCTGTCCTGGTGTTTAGGTCAGCAGGTGAGTAAAGTATCATCAGCAGGAGGAGATGAGAGCAGTAGTAGGGAGATGGTAGCAATGAGGGTAAGATATATAAGCTTTGGGGTAAAGAAAGGAGATTTTGGGAACACAGGATAGTAATATGAAAAAGGAGTAGAAGTGGCATTATAAATGGTACATGGAGTGGGAATCAGACTTGTAGGAGATGTTTCCCAGGGTGTTTGTTTGCAGTCCATCCAGCGTGCAGTAGAGTTCTTTGTTGTATCTTCCTGCTGCTTGAGTTGTCCTGCTTTAGTTAAACTGCTGTGTTCAACTGCTGCTTCACACTTCAGCATAAAACACACTCATGCAGAAAACTGCCTCCATCTGCGACTGATATGCATATTGTATATAGGTTATAGCATTGAAGAACATGTAGTGGAACTCAACTATCTCAATGGGCGCCATGGGCTACAAAGAAGGAGCGATAGGTTCACATGAGGCTCAGAAAACCCAGTTTGACATGCCTACTTTCTATACACAGAAGGCCAGGCTCTCTCAGTGCCTCTGTTATTTTTAGTAGCTCATGTCTGTGTCCTAACTTTGAAGGACTATAAATATACTTTAACTGCAAGACACATGGCTGAAGCTAAGCACACAGATCCTGTAGTAAGAGAGGCCTATGAGCTATCCCATGATTATATCCACTATGTGACAGGGAGAACCACAACACCGGCACCTTCTCCAGCGGCCTGTGCATTACGTTTTGCAGGTGATGAGCTTATGGAAAAGTTTCCCATATTTTTCAAGCGTTGGCCTCGAGTTTTTAGAGGTGTTACAGAAGACACAGCCTGCGACCTTCTTATTCAGACCATAGATGACAACATGAGAGAGAATTCTGGGACAGGCAAACGAGACAGACAGGATATCCACTTGACATACCGTGGAGCACTGTCCTATCTATCTATGTTCTAGCTGGCCAAATGGCCATCCACTGTCAAGAGAATGGGATGGAGAAGGTTCTGGAACCCTTGGCTGAAAGAGTTGGCCACTACATGGAGGAAAATATTTGCCCTGTAATTAAAGCAAAAGATGGATGGGTGAGTATTAGCTGGACTGAGTTAAAGAGAACCTGTCATGTAAAGAGAAATATGATTACTGCTATTGTTGTCTCCCTTCTGAAAATATTTAAGCTTATCCTTCTTTACTGGCTGCATACTTTTTCAAGGTCAGTGATATGCTAACTACTAAAACCAGCCTGATAGCCAAGGCACAAGCATTTTTAGATGGAAGCAACTCTTTTTCTCATAAGTTTCCTTTAAATGTATTTGCACACAAAAATCAGCACAAGGGATGGTACTTACATTTGTGTGTCACTTGTGCTGCTGACTACTGTTTTAGTTGAAATCCAAAGTCCTCTTTACTCCTCAGTGTGGTCCCTCTTTTTGATCAGATCTTTATAAAAAAAAAAAAAATTGTAGTGTAATAATTCTGCATTGTATGAGTAATTGGGGCACAGCAGAGCTTTGCCTGCATCCAACAAGCAAAAAATGGGTTACTCATCCCAGAAATTTGGGAGGTATGCTGGTGGTCTTGCCTCAAAGGCCGTTGTTTAAGTACTTTTATTTGTGCTCATTTGCTGTCACCCTCTCACAAAGGCTTCTGATGGAGACTACAAGTGACCCTTTGAACACACATAATGCAGGCTTGGTCTGCTGTTGTCATAATCAAGAATTCCTCCCTGAGAAATGATATGTAGCCATTGCTGGAGTGAATGTATGTAGATGGGAAGGAGCCAGGGGCGGACTGACCATTTGAAAACTCAGGCACTGCCCGAGGGCCTGGGGTCAGTAGGGGGCCCCATGAGATGCCCCTGGTACCTTTTTCATAGGCTTTTTTGAGTTTGGGCATGGACACAGGGGCCCCATGATCCCCTATTGCCCGGGGGCCCCATGAGTTGTCAGTCTGCCCCTGGAAGGAGCAGTAAACATTGGATGCAACAAAGGATGAAATGGGGATGAAATCATTTTTTAATTGCTTTAGCATCTATTTATCAATGTTTTCACCCAGGATTCACACCAATTTCACACATTAACCCACTTTTCTTATCTGAATGTTTATATGCAAAATAAGTGAATCTTGCTTTAAACATTGATAAACAGACCCCTAAATTTTTTTCAATTAGGGCTCATGTACACTGCAACTGATAAACTCACGTTTAGGAGCCGTTCAGCGGTTTTTTCAGCAGCCCCTGAACTCCCCCTAATGTTTTCCTATGTGTCCATGTACACTTCATCATTTACAGTCGTTTACAGGCAGTTGAGTTTACAGTTGTTTTTTTGAACACAGAAAACTTGCGTTCAGCAGTAGATTTTATCAGTGTTTCAAACGCACAAAATGCTTGTAAACGCTTTTAAACTCTTGTAAACGCAGCTAACTGCGTTTATAGGCGTTTGCGTTTGAAAATTTTTTTTAAACTCTTGTATTTCCAGATGCTGTCCAGAGCCTTTTTTCATCATGAAAAATGCACATAAAGCGTTTTCCCAGTACTCAAATGGACCTGGTACACCATACTTTGAGGTTTTGCATAAAAAAAATATGTTAGACACTGTTGCAATAATTTCTGCACAGAAATGAGCTGGAACACATCCAAACACCACAAAAAAAAAGACAGCTAAGCTCAACAAATACTGCTCTCTGCTTCTGCTCTCTCTATTTCTCTCAAAATGTCTGAAGTAGTTAATTTTTTACTGTTTTTCAGTGCTTTCTGGGCATTTTGGAAGGTCTCCTGAGGTTATCTTAAAAAAAGCTTCTAAATGCAAACGTGCATAAACGCGATATGCAAACGCTGCTAAACAGACGTTTTTAATCTACGTTTTTCCAGCAGTCAGTTTCCATCATTCAGATGTGTCCCATGTACATGGAGCCTTAGTGTTTAATGTGTCTATGTATAAAAAAAATTAGCTGAATGAATGTGAAGAACATCCACACACGACTCCACTGAAACTTGACATGGTTTTGTGTAATGTACCGTATTTTTCTCCATAAGAATCCCCCCAAAAAAGGAGGGAAAATTCAGTGCGTCTTATGGGCGAATATGGAGCGGCCGGTCCGGTAATTTCCACCGCCGCCGTGTCAGAATACCGGCCGGCCGCTCAGTTCTGCAGCGGGACCTTATGGAGATGACTGCTGACCTTTGGGGAGGTGGGGAGCGGGTACCTGAATTTGACAGGTACCGCTCTTACTTCCGAGAGTTGTTCTTTGATCTTACCTGTTCCTCTATCCACGCGCGCGCTGTCTTCCCGACTTCTGTAGTGTGGGCGCTCGGGCTTGACAGCTTGCCAAGTGCGCATGCGCAAGAAGCGGGTGCTTTTTTAACACCTGGGACACATGACAGATCCCAGAAGCCGCCGGACCAATCACAAAGCGCAGTTGCTTCTCGCTCATGCGCACTGGGCACCCGGCTGTCATCCCGAGCGCCGACACTACAGAAGTTAGACAGCGCGCGGCTGGATACAGGAACAGGTAAGATCAAAGAACAACTCCGCGGAAGTAAGAGCGGGTACCTGTCAAATTCAGGTAACCCTCCCCAAAGGTCAGCAGTCATCTGTACTGTCCGCAGTCTCTGGTCATCCCTGTGCTGTCCGCAGTCTCTGGTCATCCCTGTGCTGTCCCGCAGTCTCTGGTCATCCCCTGTGCTGTCCGCAGTCTCTGGTCATCCCTGTGCTGTCCGCAGTCTCTGGTCATCCCTGTGCTGTCCGCAGTCTCTGGTCATCCCCTGTGCTGTCCGCAGTCTCTGGTCATCCCTGTGCTGTCCGCAGTCTCTGGTCATCTCCTGTACTATGTCTGCAGTCCATTAGTTCAGAATTTTTTTTTCCTGTTTTAGTGCCTCTAAAAACCTAGGTGCGTCTTATGGTCAGGTTGCGTTTATGGAGCGAAAAATACGGTAATTATCACACAAAATCAAAAATTCCATCTAGTGGCCATAATGTGGTATTTGTTTATAAATACCTCCATCAAGAAAAAAAACCCATTATGGCCACCAGATGGCACTTGCAACCATATCAGATATTTATATTACATAGAATACGCCAAGTTTTGTTGGAGTTGTGTGGATGTGTGTCACATTCATTCAGCAATCTTTTTATACATAGTATTAGAGTAAGGGAATTTTAAGCGTCAAGGGTTAAGTTAGTGGAGGGTTAGTGTACAGGGTCCAAAATAAGGCACACCTACCAATGTCCGAGATCCCATGGGACTGTCCTTTTTTTGCAGCAAAATCTCAGGGTCTCGTGGGTTTAGGACATACCTGGTGCTGGAACGCTTGATCTAGCACCCAGTACTTGATCTAATGCTGGTGGTGATCTCCTGCCTCAAGGGATCTTTACAGTTACTAGCACTGATGTCAGCTAGAAAGGTAGCTGCATGGGGCACAGAGAAGGAATACAGGTAAGGGTCCATTGAACACTAATGCTGAAGTAATACTTGTGGGGGTCAATGCTAGGGAAAGGGTCTAATCAGGGGTGGACTGACCATTTGGAAACTCGGGCAATGCCCGAGGGCCTGGGGTCAGTAGGGGGCCCCATGAGATGCCCCTGGTACCTTTTTCATAGGCTTTTTTGAGTTTGGGCAAGGACTCAGGGGCCCCATGATCCCCTATTGCCCGGGGGCCCCATGAGTTTTCAGTCCGCCCCTGGGTCTAATGCTATGCTGAAAATGAGGACTAATCATGGGTGTGGAGGGTGGTTGGGTTGGAATACAATGCTTGGGGTTAATTCTAGCCCCCCATCCCCACTGACCACTAGAAAGGTAGCTGCATGGGGCACAGAGAAGGAATACATGTAAGGGTCCATTGAACACTAATACTGAAGTAATACTTGTGGGGGTCAATGCTAGGGAAGGGGTCTAATGCTATGCTGAAAATGAGGACTAATCATGGTGTGGAGGGTGGTTGGGTTGAAATACAATGCTTGGGGGTAATTCTAGCCCCCCATCCCCACTGACCACCAGTGTGGAGGATGAATTCTTCCTCCCGCTGACACCCTTGCCCACCTGTATCCAGAGGTGCTCTGCCCAAACATTTGCAATCAGCCTAGTCTATATCACAAGGTTTCTGCTTGCTAATGATATTTCAATGTGATCTATTTTTTTTTCCCCCTCTCCAGGTGGGTTTCACCAAACGCTTCCAGAAAAAGGAAAATGTGGAGGGCAAAGTATTACAGATCTGCTTTGCTGTTCTCATAACATTGCTGGCTCTACTACTCACTCACTATCTGTGGAAAAGAAAGATGGCGTCACTTTGATCTTTTGCCGCTGGATACATCTGTATGCGGCTCTTGGGTGGATACATGACAGCTCTAGATCTAAGTTGTTAGCACTTCCGCCTGGCAGCACTAGAGTCATTGGTTTGAATCCCACCCACAGCACTACCTGTCTGGAGCTTGCATATTCTCTCTGTGCCTACGTGGGTTTCTCCCACGGGTACTCCGGTTTCCTCCCACACTCCAAAAACATGCTGGTAGGGTTAATTGGCTCCTGTCTAAATTGGCTCTAGTATGAATGTGAATTAGGGACCTTAGATTGTACACTCCTTGAGGGCAGGGACTGATGTGGATGTATAATATATATGTAAAGCACTGTGTAAATCGACCGCGCTATATAAATACCTATAATAAATGCATAAATAAACTTTACACAATACCTGGATTTTATTCTATTTTGAAAAACAAAAACCAGCTGCATTTTGTCCATTTTTTAACCAGCTCATTTTCAATTTAACTTTTTGTTAATTATTTATTTTGACAATGCTAATTACACACTTGTTTTTCCTCTACCATCATTACAGTACAACTATAAGGCAGTTATATAATGGCTAATACTATTTTCCTTTAACTGAGCCATGTTTCTCACATGACCTTGTGCTTTCAAATACCTGAAAATCTAGAAATACACACAATAAGTTACTCTAGTTCCACTAATGGAGAAAAATGTAAGGAAACTACTACCAGTAATACTAACAATGAGTTTAATATCATCAATCTGTCATCACACTTACTGAGGATGAACTAAGGATTTTGGGCAAAGGCTTAAACTTCTGCCCTAATAAAGATCTGGACAAATGTGAACTTGAAAAGGATTTACAACTTTTTGCCCTTAACCTTTGCTTAAATGTTTGTATGACAAATGAAATGCTAACAATCAAATAACATCACAAGATGTCAGGATGGTTGACCAACTGATATCTTTGCTTGAGGAGAGTGATCCGACCAATCTGATTGATTGTGTGGATATCACTCAATTACTACAATATTTAGAAAATTCCTCTACAACAAAGTAAAAAGAACAATTCCATTCTTAAAAACAAATCTGATAAATTCCTTCCACCTAGCTCTAATCCAAATGTACAGCTTTTCTTAAACTAATAAGTAAAGAAATCAATGCACTAAATATCAAACCTTCTATTAACAACAATCTAAATGTACAGGAGAGACAGGCTCTAATAAAACTATCTACGAATATGCCAATAACAATCAAGCCAGCGGACAAGTGAGGCAACATTGTCCTCATGAATAATACACAATATATAAAGATGTGTGAGAAAATTCTTAACTTAAATTGGTATCACCCAATTAGGGCATCTCTTGTTGAGAAATTCAATAAAAAATATTATGAGCTAATTGATACAGCTTACCTTATGGAATAATTTCCAAATCTACTTGGGAGTTTATCAGAACAATCTTTCCCATTATTCCAACGTTTTATGCTTTGCCCAAAATCCATAAAAATGACATTGACCGACCTGGGAGACCAATTATATCAGGGAGAGGAGCTCTGACTGAAATTGGCAGCAGACTGGTTGATGAACACCTTTGACCCCACATGACAAGTCTACCCTCCTATATCCGGGACACTATACATCTCCTTCAAATCTCTGTTAGTCACAGTGGATGTTGAAGCTTTATATAGCTCCATCCCTCATGAAAAAGGCCTTGCAGCTGTCAAACATACCCTTGCCAACATACCTCTAGGTACAGGACGTAGCGATGGGGACCTGTTGTGCCCCATCCTACGCCAATCTGTACCTGGGGGAGTGAGAACGAACGTTTATGAACGATGAGACCTCGTCGATATACACTGACCATATATCATTATGGTATCGATACATTGATGACATAATCATCATATGGGAGGGCTCTCCGAAATTGCTCATTAAATGTATTGATAGGATGAATCATAATGACTTCAATCTGACATTCACAATGCAATTGAACAGATATATGGTTACTTTCCAGGATGTAGAGATACTTAGGGAAGAAAATGGTGCTCTGGGCAGCAATTTGTACCACGCAAACCAGTGGCGGGCAATGCCATCCTCCATGCTTCTAGCTTTCATCCACAACTTTGCTTAACTCTATTCCCTATAGTCAGTACTTGAGAGTCAAACATAACTGCTCAGATGATACATCCTTTTTCATTGAAGCTAAAAAATTACAAACAAGACTGTTAGAGAGAGGATATTCATGAACTTCTCTAAAGAAGGCCTATAAATCAGCCCTTTCAAAAACGAAGAATCAATTGTTCTGTAACAAAAAAAACAAAGATAAGCTTAATTCCATAAGAATCATTACTAGATATTCAAACCTACACAAAAAGGTTAGAAAGATTGTTCAAAAATATTAGCACATGTTAACTATGGACCCCATTGTGGGCAATGTTGTCCCAGATAACCCATTGTTCACATATAATAGAGCAACCTCTATTCATGATCGTATTGTACACAGTGAATTTAAGGGGGAGACATGAGGTGACATTTGTAAATATAGGGGTACCTTTATCTGTGGATCTTGCAAATATTGCAAATACATGTGGACCAATAAAAAGATCAAACTACGTAATGGTCAAATGTTTTTTCTGAGACATTATGCTAATTGTAAGACATTTGGTGTGATTTATCTTTTTTATTGTGAATGTGGTTACTATTACATTGGCAAGACCAAGCTAGAATTTTGGAAATGTGCCTACAGGCACATTGAAGGCATGAAAAAATGTGACACAGAATTACTGTTTGATAGAATGTAATGGGCCCAAAAATTTAATTTCTGATATTGGATCATATACACCCTAATTGTAGTAGGGAGATTGGAATAAAATACTCCTCCAAATGGAACTTAAATGGATTTATAGATTTAAAGCTACCTCACCCCAAGGGTTGAATGAGGTAGCGAGTTTTAAGCCCTTCTTAGAAAGCTTTGTCTCAGGGGGGGCTGGAAATATGAATACATATCTCTTTGCTCAGTCTTGCCAATGTATAGTGTGTATATATAAATAAATATATATATATATATATATATATATATAATTTTTTTTTTTCTTTTTATGGAGGGGGGGATTGAATATGTTACCTGTCAGCTGTAGATATTCGAGAATATTATATTAATTATAGTTATATTCACCTTTCTGATGACTATTTGCATCTATTAGGCCCTGTGATGTTTTGATTTCCATCTCTTAAGATCTATTATGCCTCATGTATTGTGTTGTTTGGTTTGTCCTTGGGTTTGTTTTTCCTAGATGTCACCTGTTTTTCAACCTCTAGATGGCGTGATGTCCCAAAACTTTTGGGTGGATGGGAGTTGGCCTGCAAAGGCTGCCCGGCACGCACATGCTGCTCGGTGGGAGTGGGGCATTTTTGTGCCCTTCCCTCTTGCGGCATTTATGGTGGTTGGATGGAGGGCAGGTGCTGTTTTCTGGTGCTCGCCCCCTCACCTTCTTGGCTTGTCCTTTGGGCTGGCAGTGGTACATGCTGTTGGACACATGAACATCATCCCACAGTGTTGACGTGATGATGCATTTGCGTCGGATCGTGGGGCAGGACGCCGATGCGTGCATGAGCCCAGGGGGCCATTTTTAATGTCAGCCAATGGCAAACTCTATAACAAGCATTAGTTTCAGGTGTTGGCAATCTTTAATTGACTCACTCCTATTTAAATGGTGCAACCGGGCCATGCCTGGTGATGACTTTCAGTGTACTTTTTAGTCTGAGAGGCTGCAGACATTACCCTATGCTCCATTCTACGCCATGCTTTTGTGTTTTGTAGGTAAGACAAATGTAGCAGCTACAATATTGTCGATTGAACGCCCCAAATCTGGCTGCAAGATCTTTTTACTATTTTATTTATATATATATATATATATATATATATATATTTCACCTTTACTGATATGTGGCATAGTGAAGTTTGGGCTGCTCTCTGAAGTTTTGCACTCTGTAGTCCCAGTGATGCAAATTGATTTCAGTTTCTCTCCTATTTAAAAATAATAATGGCCATGCCTGGTGATGACTTTCAGTTATTAGATATATATTTCTAGAAAATGCAAATTTGTGCAAATATATGATATTGAAGTTTGAAAAAAGTTTAACAAATACACCTTAAGAAGTTGATATACTATGGAAAGGAGTCTTTATTTGATTATTTGTGTTGTTAGGATATTAGTGGATCAATAGGATTATCCCTCCTCTTTTTCAAGCAGTATGGATATTAAACTAGGAATTACCATTTTTTTCTTACTATAGGATTGATATCTTCTGGGCCCCAGTAGTCTTTGGGTGCCTCCCATCCCTTCGGGCTGTCCATGAGCCTCTTGGTCCACAGACTCGGTGATGTGTATACTTGTTTTTACATATTACGGCTTTCTCCATATGCAATAATTGTCACTTTTGCGAGTAGTAAATATATATAATTTATCGTATTATGTATGAAACAAGGTATATGGTTTTGTGCAGGGGCAGACTGACAACTCATGGGGCCCCCCGGGCAATAGGGGATCATGGGGCCCCTGTATCCTTGCCCAAACTCAAAAAAGCCTATGAAAAAGGCACCAGGGGCATCTCATGGGGCCCCCTACTGACCCCCGGGCTCTCGGGCAGTGCCCGAGTTTCCGTATGGTCAGTCCGCCCCTGGATACAGTATAGAGAGTCCAGCATGTAGGATGCTGTCAAGGCTACACTGACATTGTTAGGGACTGCCGTATTTGTATCATTTGCTAAAGACAGCCAACCAGCCAGGAAACGGGTGACAGGCAAGGGTGACGACCACTCTGATAGTGAAGGGGTGTTATGCTTGGCCCCTTCACTAGCAACCTGTTCCACACATACTGGGACCAACCTTGTAGCACAGATTGCCTAGGGACCTGCCCACAGCTCTGTGCAATACCATTGCACAGAGTAGGTAGGTTATAATATGTTTGATATTTTCCAAATATAACAAAATTAGTCTTTACAACCGCTTTAAGCTATCAACAA